ACTATAACTGGTATGTACTTGACCCAATGGGCATGGTTCATTTGGGTTGCATGGCATCAGAACAATTTGGATAGACTTTTGTGAGAAAAGGATAATTATGATTTGTTAATATATTATAAGTTCTAATATATTAATATGAAATCATATTATTTAATTAGTATTGATCAAGAATTAATTTGCAATTAATATTGTGATCAAAATGAGACTAATTAAATATATGAGGATTGATTGTGTAAATCATTCATTCTTATATATGTGGGCTTATGATCCATAGTTCTTCATGTTGGGCTAAACCCATGGAGTAACCCATGGATACTCCATGGAGGTTTTAACTCATGAAGCATGAAGAATATAGAAAGACATGAGTTACATGGTGTAACCCTAATAGCCACCATATATAAGGACCCCATGGCTCAAGAAATTGGCACTAGTGTGTGTACACATGAGGGCTAGCCGATTTGAGCATGGGAACCTTTTCTCTCAAGTTATTCCAAGATGTTGGTGATGTTTTGTGAACCATTTGAGGTTTCACACTTGAGGCACTAGGCTCTTAAGCTCTATGGAATCAAGCTACATGAAAAGGTATGTCTTCTAACTTGTTTATATTACCCAAGTATCAATGATTGTATGCTAGTTAGGGTAATACCTTGGAAAGTTCAAGTTTGCATGTATAATAGAGAAAACATAGATCCAAGGTATTTAGGGTTTAATGTACACCATAAGAGTGTTAGAATTCTCAAAACTCTTTAGTGATATCAGAGCTTAGGCCTGTTTTCAATTATACTTGATGCAAATTGCTGCAAAATGCTGAAAAGTTTGATTTTCTGCTGTTCTGGACAGTGTGCTCGCCGAGTCCACTGATAGACTCGCAGAGTCCATGCATAAAATTATCCAACTCGTTGAGTTGGTTCATGCACTCAACGAGTTGGACCCCCACACAACATATTTTCGAGGTTTTGTGCTGGAATTGGACTAGGAACATTACCCTAAGTTGTTTTTGAACTTGTAAACCTGTTTTTGATCTGGTAATGTTCATGATAATCCAATTTCATAGATAATTGTCAATAAATTCATATTTTGTATTAGTATAATGGTTAGGCTAATTACATGAAAAGTGTTTGATTTGAATAATCTGGTTCTTATGAGTTGATTTAGATTAATAGAAAAGTTATGTGATAATATGTTTTTAATCCAAATTAATCTAAACGTTGTTCATAATATGTGTTTTTGTAACTTGTCCTCAACTTATATGAAAGGTTACATTTATGATTATTGAAACTCATAAGATTTCTATAAGTTATGAAAAATGGAGAGTCTCATTTTTAAATGTTTTAAAGTCTCCCATAAATTGTCCTCAAGTTATGAAACTTGAAGAGTTTTTTTTATTAAAACTACTTTAAAAACATAAGTTATGAAATTGAAAAGTTTTAGAATAGTTCAGAACTTACCCTCAAGTTTTGGAATTTGTAAAGCTTCACACACACTTTAATTCCAAACCCTAGAGTTTTAAAAGTTAAAATTCAACCCTTATACTTTATAGTATTACAAGTTAATAATATATATATACATATATATATATATATATATATATATATATATATATATATATATGTGTGTGTGTGTGTGTGTAAGATCAAGTCAGTTTTACCATTAGTAGGCCTCATTCACGAAACCGGTCTATAAGGGGGGTATAAGGTTACCGCCTATAAAAATGGCAGTTTAATGGGTGTCCACTCTCACCCACTACACTAGTGGAGGGTTGTTAGCCAAACGGGTAGGACAAGGACTAGAATTCTCCCTTCATTAAAAGTATTAATGATAAATAATAAGTAACTAAACTATTATGAATTCCCAATCTTAGTTACATAGGAAAATGTGAATTTGGTGCTAACCCATGAAATTACACTTTGCGCTTTGCTTAAGTCGGTTAGTGGAGTGAGTGTGGTTAACCAGCACAGTAGCTTGATTTAACAAGGTAGGAAAAGGGTAGTTTAATGTTTATCATAGTATCGGTGGAGCGCGTGTGGTTAACCGACACATCGATTGAGTGGTAAATATCAAGGGTACCAAGTATATTTTCATGGTTATTGACACCTTGTTTTGTGATCCTCGGCATCCCAGTCACAAAAATTGAGAGGGCACAATCGAGATTGAAACATCCCATTGAAAAGTTCAATGGATCTCAAAAGATCTAGGAGTTTCAAATCCAATTAAAACCTAATAAATTATTTCGTTTTTCATGGTGGAAATTGGTGAATCGTGATTCGCCTACCTTCAAATATTTTATAGCTTGGATTACAGCATCTCTCTTCTAAGTTATAAAATATTGTGTTGGGTCCTAGCCTTAATATTTCATATTGGGTGCTATATTAAGGACTTTAAATCGACTATCTTGAATATCTCCCAAAAGATGTCTGGTTCAGACAATTATGATCTTCCCAAAACTCTTGGGACAAGCTTTCCTAATGAAGATGATGTCCTAGAAATCATTCTTCACTCCCTCCACCTCCTCTAATTATTCTCCCTAACCTACAAGTTCTTGAATAGTTCAAGGTCACTCAAGCCCTATTGGCAAGCAAGGTCTATGCGTGCTCACATCTTGGAGATGAAGTCACATATTGACAAACCGGGAGAGTTGGGTGTCAAAGTCTTGAGAAAGTTGGTTGTTCAATCACCTTCTAAGTCTCATAGTGAGTGTCCTTTGGGACTACTATGTAAAAGACTATGACATGACCCTTAATAATCTTATCTATTTGCTTGGTGCTGCTAAATCAGTAATGATTTGGAGCACTGGTAGAGCAAATTTGATCAAGAAGATCAACTTACCAGATTTCCACAGACATTGACAATCGTAATATTGGATATCTAGAAAAAACTTCTCTTCCCAAGGAAAGGGATTGACGATAGTCAACTCGGTTGACCAAATGGTAAAGAGAAAGACAAGTTTGAGATAGTCCAGTGTACCATTACCAAAGAGTCCATATGTTTATATTGCCAAAAGGAAGGGGCATTGGTTGCAAAACTGCCCTAACTACCTGAAAGATCTGAGAGAAGGTGTAGTCAAAAATTTTGACCTCAGCTTCAGGTAAGTCGACTATCTAACTCAATTAAGTTCCCATTTGGAGATTCTTAATACATTTTGATGTATGGCAGGATCAAGCAAATGGAAGGAAACTTAAAGAAAGAGTATGTTGAATCTGATCGCGAAGATGGATTTCAATCGCATGGTTCGAAGATCGGATTCTTGAGCTGCTACTTAGGAGTTATGATAGATTGCTAGAAAATATGTAATAACATAGTTTTCATTTAAGTTACATTGTAAGGAAACGTTTTTCCGCATGTTATAAATAAATAAAATTTTTTATTTTATTTTATCTCCTTCCAATGGCATTTATGGAAAATTGATGTTTATATGTTTCTAGAAATAAGGAAAGATTTTCATCACCTAAGTTTCAATTGGACCAAAACTTGGAATCATGCAAGTTGTATAGTATGATGAATGAAAATCTTCATCTTTGGAAAATTAAGACTAATTCCTTGTTCACATGTATATGTGAGTCAAGTGAAGGACTAAGGGATTGAGTACACATTCTTGTGAAACGGTCAAGTCCACCACAAAAGATCGATAAGACTATTCGTCATGATTTACTAAAGTTTAGTAAATATGGTTATACTTACAAGTTTATGTATAATTCTGAAACATCGGAAAAGTTTCGATGTATGGCAAAACGAATGAGAATAATCAAATTAGGCAGAAAGATAAAAGTTTCTCAAATCTGAAAAGATGGGAGAGTACTTTAGTATCATGTTTTGTGATCATCTTGATGATTAAGAAACCATTTCATAATTGGTCCTCTAAGGATATCTTAGTGCATTCTTATGGCTAAGAAGAGGAGTTAATAATTGTTAAAATGGTTAAATCAATTTAACTTGTATTCGCCCTCCCCTAAAACTTGAAGGAAACATGAAAATGTAGGCTATGAACTCACCTTGACTGATTTCAGTAGATGGATGATGAAGAAAAAGGAGTTTCCAAGTCAAGAACACTTGGGAGATGCTTGAAGATTCGAAGATTCCAAAAGAGGATGAAGAGCTCAAAACTCTTGGAGAATCTCAAAATCTTGGAGAGGAAGTGAGAAAGAAAAAGTGTATTTGCTTTTGGTGAAGTGCTGGTGATCTAAGGAGGATGAGTAGTAAAGTTTCATTGTGTGTATGGGTTTAAGGAAACTTGTGGGGGAAGGGTAAGAGTACAATGAGTGGGCAAGACTGATGTGAATAGTGTCTGAGAGTGGTCATAGAGTGGGTATGGGAGGTTTCTTGTGTCATTACTAGAAAAACAGCTTTTTACGACGCGCAATGCGTGTTGTAAAATGCTCAGACGGTGCGCAAATGCGTATCAAGGAAGGCCCTGTGATAACGAGAGACGACACGCTTTTGCACATCGTCTATTTACGATGCGCATTTATGACACGCAATGCATGTCAAGGAAGGCCTTGTCATAAAAGAAGACGACACACATTTGTGTCTCGTAATCTTACGACGCGCTTTAGGACACGCATTGCGTATAATTAAAGCCCCTGTCATTAATGAAGATGACACGCATTTGCGTGTCATAAACTTCAAGAACCATTTACGATATGCATATACGACGTGCGTTTATGATGCTCATTTACGCATAATACAAATATATATATATATATATATATATATATATATATATATATATATATATATATATATATATATATATATATATATATATATATATCAAAACACTCAATTTCATCCAATACCATCATGTCAAAAATTGTAATCCATCGGTATTAAGGGATCTAATTGTACATTGTTATTAAGAGGTTTTCACTAACTATATAACCTAATACTACATTTCTATTAAGGTCACCTTCTTGTTTCAGATATCATGTCAAAAAAATCTTCCATATTGTTGGTTTGCCACCGATTCCTTTCGTGAATAAACAGATGGAGCGACTCTGCCTTTTTCAATAGCACATATCGGTTCCTTTTGTGAATCCACTTGGGTTGATCAAGTCGGCGTATAAAACGACTCTAAGAACCGAGGTGCTAAGGGCACGTACATGAGCACTCGGGTGAGAAAGGCACCGAATGGTAACATGCAATCGACACTGTTACATTCAATCAAATTCATTCTTTAATGAATGTCCGTCTATAAAAGAAGTCCAAGGCTTTGGTTTCAGTGTATCCTACTATCAAATATTCATATAATAGAAATCAAGATTATTAAAATTTGATTTTCACCTTGAAAAGATTGGAGAGTTCATCTGCAGCTGCCATGCCAGATTCTCCCCATTCCAGCATTGGTTGAATTGCTCTAGCAGTTGTTTCCAAAAGCTAAAACAACAATCAAATCAATGAAAGAGTATGTGAAATGAAGCTAAATTTTAAAATATATGACACGTCGAGTTCTGGTAGATTACATGCTTCTCCATCAACAAGCATGTCATAATTACCAATGACTCATGGGTATTGTGATTTCTCATGAGCTTAACAATTAGTTTAACAATCCTCTTTAGCAAACCATGGTTGCAAATCTCTCTCAGCCTAACAACCAAAACAACAACATAGATTCAATATTTTTTAATATGGTAATAAGAAAGAATGTTAGGATACTTTTTTGAAAAAAAAAATCATTAATCGCGAGTTCTATAGATATATAAAATAGTGAAAATGAAAAGGTCATGTAACTTACATCATCCTCATTGGCAGAGAAACTCCTTTGATGAGTTAACCTAGGAATTGTGTTTTTTGAAGAAACAAATATTAGTTTTGTGAGCCTTTGAATTCTACTCATTAAAGCTATTTTATTTTTTTAATAAACACAAAGCTTAAATATTAAAAAAATAAAACAATACCTTCTATTTAACTTATTTTAATACAAGGGTATTTTAGTCTTTTATAAAAAATAAAAAAATTCCACCTTCCTTACTAAACTGGATTTCAAACATTTACAACATTTAACCGTGTCATTAATCATTTAAAAATGGAGCTTCATTATAAAAAAATGAACATGTTCTAGAACTAAATAAGATACTAAGTGGAGACTCACAGTTAGTAACGTTCATTCATCCAGGTGTGTCTACACCTAACCAAACATAGAATGTGGCATACCGGATTGCAACACCAATAACATCCATATGAACCACCACCAAGGCAGAGAAACCACCATCACAAACCGCTATCTAAACAAAAAATCTACCAGATCAACAAGATGCTTAGAAAACAACAAACCTGATAAGACACCACTTATCACAGTAAGCCAATGATGATGGTCCATTAGTTATTGTTACACTTCTTCCTAAAAGTCTTCATTGGTTATTGTTTCACTACAAGTTTATTATTAAGAGACTTAATGCAAAAAGATTCAACAACTAATTTGGGAAATTAGAAAAAAAGAAAAAGAAAAAGGGAACTAGAACTTGCCTAAACTCAACAATATTTTTTTAGATCTTTGCAAACTAAACTAGTAATAGATTAAACATGGTTAAATCTCATTATCATAATGGTTAATTTTTTTTCCAATAAAACTATAAAAGTTTAAGACAATTTTTTCATTTTTACCAATTTTGACCTCATATACTGTTATATCAGGTTTCATGACTTCATCGGTAATTCTGTTATGTCCACTTGCACATCTAATCTCCCCATGCACTCTTCCATTACCTAGTAAACATTATCAACCAAAAAACAAATTACTATTAAGCTTTATGTGTATTGTATAATCTATACACATACATATAATGTAATCAGATGAAAGGTTACCAATCTAGAAAGCACAGGCAAGCAAACACAATCATGTCCAGCTGCTCGTACAGGACAAATCCTTTCACAAGCCTCCATGAAAGCAGTCTTCCATAGCTCCATGGAGAAGTTTTCTTTTTCTTGCTCACGTGATGTTTTTTTTTTACTACATTCTAAATCTACAATTCTAACAATTGCCTCTGCAGCCGTTGATTGCATATATCAAATAAGTGTCCGCAACAACTTAATCACCACATAATTATACTCTTATATAATAAAAAAAGAAAAGTCATTAATATTTAATATTATGCAACAAACCTGCCACCAGACTGACTCGATAATTCATGAAAAGATCCAAGATTCAACTTTTTCCAAAGCAAAACACAATATTTAAGTAAACACACACACACACACACACACACATATATATATATATATATATATATATATATATATATATATATATATATATATATATATATATATATATATATGTATGTATGTATAATTCAAAAAGGGATCAGGTGGACGAGGTCCAATCCTAACATAGTCCCGGATAAATTATTCAGCAAAAGTTGTTTTGTGGAGCCTTTCATGTTAACATGAAGAAATCCAACCCACCTCCCATTCCGTTCCATGAATCCGAGCACCTAAATATGAAGCTCGTGTTCATATAGCTGGAATTGTAATTGACAAGGTTGTAATCCATGATGGTGTTGACTTAATCTTGTGGACAGATTGACTCGATCATATCTTCTCGAACAATCTTCAAAATTTGGACCATTAGGCCGATGTTTTAAATCTGCTAAATCATGTGCTTGATGTTGATGGTTGATGGTTTATGTTCACATCATCCAAATGATGTTTTGAGTAACTTGTTTAAATCCCAACAAGCACCTGGGAATGGAATGCCTGGAAATCCCATGTTGCCTATGGATCCTATGACATATAATAATGGTTATCTTCAATATTTATGATTAATCCTGCATCATTTGGATCTTAACCTGTAAACTATGTTGCTATGAGTAGCATTTTAGCTCAAGATAAGTTTTACCTTTAACAGATGCATCCTCAGAATTTTAGTGCAGGAAATGCTTCTGTAAGTCAAGTGGGGGTGGGGGTATAACTCAGCAGTTGTTCCATATATTTAATGTGGTTGGGATGTAATGTTCTGGTGAAAGAACATTTAGCAGGTAAGCATAAGCTTCTCTATCCTACACATGAAATCAATCTACTATTAATAAACATGAAAAAAGCACAATGAAATCAAACTATTGTTCCAGATATTCAATGTGGTTGAGTACCTCCTACTGTATCATGAAAATAAGTTATGACAATCACTACAATTTCAAGAAAACATGACATATTAGATATTATATAACTAATGTCCTTATCTACCAGGTCTTAACACGATGATCACCTCCAACATAAACTGACTTTGGCTCCTCAAAATGTACGCCACCTGGCAAATCAGACAGAAGAGGCTCTGCATATTTCAACAATTCCTCATGTTCAACCCCCGAGGCAGCAAGTACAATCCTAGGAGCAGTGTATTTTTCCTGAAATTTTCAAAAAATATAAAATACAAATAATATAAAATACAAAGAATGTATAGTTGTCTAGTTTAAGTGCTTAACGCATTAAGCTCAAAAAATGAAAAAGAAATTGCCCCTAAATCTATGAGTATGACTTACAGATACAAATTCTTCCAAAATTGAACTGCTTAATCTGTTTAATGAGCCTTCTGATGCAAGAAGAGGATTGGCTAATGCACCAGAATATCCAACAGAATCAATTGCCTCTAACAACAAGGTTTCTGGATTGTTGGCATATTCACTGATAGCAGCTTTCACTTTCTAGATCTTTAAAACAATATAATATAAATTTTAAGAAATAATCTAAAAGAAAACCCAAGAAAGGAAATAGAAAGAAACGAAAATAGGCAAACAAATACCTGCTCTGTTAGTTGTGCTTTTGAAAGCCATACGTTCTAGAAGATGTGTGGCTCCAAATGAAATTGGTGTTTCATACATTGAGCTAGAATTCACATACAACTCAATGGAAGCTGCAGGATTCTATTCCAATAATCAAGCACATGAGATGACGATATGAAATACCTTGGTGATAAAGGAATAAGGAAAATAGTTGCTTGCTGCTGAAGTTTTAGAGGCAATTCTGACTCCATTTTGGAGGGTTATGATTTGGGCCTTTCCGGTTTCAACATGATCAGGTAGAGAGGATGCGAGTTCAATCCCCTTAAGTGGAAAGTATGGAGGAGGGAGGCTGGGAGAACTTCATCCTGTAAACCAACTAAAGATACCCCCTGAAGATGATTTGGCTGTAACTGCACTTGAACTTGCAAACCTGCCCAAGAAAAAAAATCAGAATTTGAAAATTTGACAACAAAAAAGGAAATATGAACCTCGTTTATGTGAAAAAAAAAATGTACTCGTTTAACTTAAGAAGGTGTGGCCATAGGTATGACATTTCTTTTCCCAAATTCCCTGAAGGATCTAAAGTTCTAAACCAATAGTTGTAAGCTGAAATGGTGAAATCAAGTTGTTTTCAGAGATGAGAAGTAGATGTAGGAAAAAACGGAGGCATAAAGGAGAAATCGAAAGTACCAGGTGAAATCGCTGATGCATGAAAAAAATCATAATCCATTTTTGCTTGATTGAGAAGATGAGTCGAGAGATGAATGAGAAATTGTGTTTCCTCTTATTTGTTGAACGACTGAAGAAATAGGGCAGCATAGAAGCATCCTTTTCATACAATAGTGCAATCAGACCTAGGGCTTGGAAACTTGAGGAGTCTTAGTAGATGGCGTAGGGTGGAGGGGAGGTGGAAAAGTGAGCCTGAGGAGTCGATACTTATGTAACAATGTTGATAGATTACTTGTGGTTCTTCTATGACGAGTATGAGAGAGATTAATTGATAGGTATGTAGTCGCCGATGTTGTAGCCTGAGGAGTCACAACACCATTGCGGTGGAGGAGTCGTAGTTGCCGAACTACGTTGCAATCGAGATTGAAGCGAATGGGGCGTAAGTCTCCGATCAAAAAAAGCCCTAGCTTATGTTGTGCAGGCTTGAAGAGTTGGTGTGGGTTGGAGGTAGTGGAGGTGGGTGAGGGGCGGAGACGAAGGAGAGGAGATGTTAGAGAACAGATCGATACGAATGTAGGAGAAAAAAGAGGGGTTTAAAATTTTTGGGGATTTAATTTTCCCTCTTAGAAGAGAGACGTGTGTTTGTTAAAAAATATAAAACGACATTCACAGAGGACGCACATTTTAGATAAAGTGCCCTCCGTGTTTTTAATTTTTTCACATGAGACACTAATTTAAGGGCACGCAATAATTCGTGACCTAAATCCTTAAATTTTTTAAGAGATGACACTTTTTTTTAATGTCACTCTCTTTTGCGTAACATAAATCAACGAGTTTCGTAGTTTGTGCGTCGTAAAAGGGTCTTTTTCTTGTAGTGTGTCATAGTTTTGTGGAAAAGTCAAGGATCACTTTTTGTACTTTGCCTTTGCTCTTAAGGAAGGTGTGGATTTTAATATGGAATCCTTAGAATATGCATATTTTATGATCTTAGAAGGTTAAAAATAATAAAATATGGCTTTATACGAAAATCCCATGCGAAAATCATCGAAAACGGGCTTAAAAGGAAGTCGAGGTTGAAAACCGGGTGAAAAGGTGCTCCCTGCGAAGTTGCTTGCATTGGGCTGAAGGTTCGGTCAGTAGTCAGAACCAAAGGAAAAGTTGGTCGTAGGGAACCGAAAGCGAAATGGAGCGAAGGGAGGTTTCGGTCCGAAGGGACCTTCGATCCTCTGAGGTTCGGTTAGGTCTTAGCAGTTTCGGTCCAAATAGGGTTTGGTTCTTCATGGCTTCAGTCCATAAGGTGTAGTTTTCGGTTCTAGAGGAAGGCTTCAGTTCTAATAGGGACCTCAGTCTTATAAGGCTATTTTTCAAGGAATCTTCCCGTTTCGAGCGTTTTTTCACCGAGTTAAGTGTCGGGATGACCCGAGTGATTATAAAAAGTTAAAAGAGATTTTTAGAGAGATTCGAGAGAGATTTGGGAGACATTTGGGAGGGAGAGAGATTTATAAAGAGAGATTGAGAGAGACTATGTTTGTGACCTTTTTGAGTGTTTGGCTTCGTAACGCAAGGTTCGTACACCCCGTTAAGCCTCGTTATGGATGTTATACGCCCCGAGGGGTACAGAATAATGTTTTACCAAATAGTTTCATCACTTACCCTGAATAAGGTCTAAGAATTCTGAACATACGCACTTTCCAAGTAATAACTTCTTATTAAAATAGCGAGTTGTACAATAGAAGACATAAAGTAAACCCCAACCCACAAGGGTTAGATAAGTTGACCTGTTTTGACTTGTTGACTTTATTTGACTTCAACTTGACCAAAAATTGAGGTTGTCACATCATCCCCCGTTAGAAGGAATCTCATCCCAAAATTAGTGTTTTGACTGGGAGTTCAAGAATTTGGGGAAAAGACGAGGGCATTTTTCATAATACATGACATTGATATGGTAAGGGCCAAGCCATTTTATGTTAATTGATGACGTTTGGACATCTTATTGTAACCGGTGTTAATTCGATTTAAAACTAAAAGTGTTTGTTTTGGGATGATAGTGTATTATATTATACTCCCTGCTTTATCCTTGTTATTCTTACTACGAATTTTTATAATATAGTTAGTGAGTACTAGCAGTATGAGTGATTTGACAAAAGTGATGAAATTTAGTAGTATGACTCCCACCAGTTCTTTTATAATCGTTGGGTGTAAACTAGTCGTATATCATTAAGATTGCAAGGGCAGTCAAATGAGTGACTCTACCTTAAGCTCACAACCAAACAAGGAATAGGAAATAAAGCGGAATTACACATCCTAAGTCTATAGAATCTGAATGATATATGACCATAATGTTTACACTAGCCATTATAGATTCACTAGTAAGAATCCTAAGTTTTTATATAAACAATATGACTTACTCGGGGGAGAGGGGAAGTTTACGACTAGGGTTTGTCGTGTTCTCGAGATTTATGGTTAATATACTTTAATCGATGCTAGTTTTAGTAAGAATTTAAAATCTAAATGTTGTTGTTAGAAACATGTACCGATATTTATTGGCGGTTTCGGGGGAGTCTCTCCTATAGTGATCATAAGCACCCTTCTACCATCACAAGCATCCCTTGCTCTTGGGCGGTCTCTTTTAAAGTGTCCCGTTTCGCTGTACTTGTAACAGGCTGGGCTTACTCCAGTGTAAGGGACCTGGGTGATGGGTTGTACCGATGCCCTACAGAAATGGTCAATGTGCCCCTTCTTGTTGCAATTTTTGCAATGCATCTCCCGGTAAACCCTAGTATGATGGAAGTTACACTTGTTGCATTTTGGAAGGGTTCCAACATATCGATTTATGGGTGCTAGAGTGGCATGGGTTGTGGCAGCATGAACAACAACGATCTGTTGCTTCTTAGTGGAGTCCTGGGCTGGTTGGTTCTTCTTATCATTCCAAAACTTCCTTTTGTTGTTTCCCCCTCTTGCTTGTTCAGGGGTGGTTGTCACCGTGTCATGGTTGGTACTATGATCTATGAGTTGTTGTGCCAACTCCTTGGCACTGTCAAAGGTAGTTGGTCTTGAGGCCAACACGCTATCTTAAATTTGGGGAGAAAATCCCCAGAGGTATTGTTCCTCCTTTTTGTCTTTCGGGGTGACCATAGCAGGACAAAGGAGTGCTAGATCACAAAATCGGGTGGTATAGGTTACTGATGGGTTTTGAGCATTCTAACACTTCCTAAGTGTACATGCAACCCTAATAACCTTGGATCTATGTTTGTCTAATTTGTCATGCAAAGTTGATTTCCAAGGTTATATTCCTATCTAGCATACATGGGGAACAATTTTAACATAAAGTATAGATAGAATAACTTACCTTGTTGTTGCTTGTGTTCCTTGAAACCTTGTGAGCCTAGCACCCCAAGTGTGATGCCTCAAATGCTTCACACAACACCAAATGCTCTTGGAAGAACTTATGAGAGAATACTCACTTCACAAAATCGGCTAAGCCCTCTATATTCTTAGTGTATGTATGTGTAACCGATTTGGGAGGAGATCATATTACTTATATAGTGTTGACACATCTAGGGTTAAACCCTAATGTGTCATGACTCTTCATTTCCATGACCCATGGGTTTGTAACTCCCATGGAGCATCCTATGGGTGGAACCCAACTTGATGATCCATGGAGCCTTTTAGCCCACTATACAAGATATGGATGATTTACTTAATCAACCCATATATTTAATTAGTTATCTTTTGATCACTTAATTAATTCTAAATTAATTCTTGATCAAACTAATCAAATAATATTATTAATATATTAGAACTTATAATATATTAATAATCTCCAAGCGTTATTTCTCTCATTTAGTCTATCCAATTGCATGGTGCCATGCAACCCAAATGGACCATGCCGGGTCGGGTCAAGTACATACCAGAAATAGTTATGGACTTAGACACCTTATCCAACAGTCTCCCACTTGGATAAGTCTAGTAACTATTACTGCAAGTATGACTTCAGGAACCGATCGGCAATCGTAGCTCTTTACAAGGTTTCTCGAAACTTGAGAAGATGATGGTACGCCATTTAAGATAAGTGATCATATAATCCTCTGTTCTAGATATCAGTCGGACAAATACATGGAACAATGTCTTACTTATTGTCCAACATTTGTTTCCCGATTTCCGATTTGTTTGACAAAGAACTTTATTGAACACATCAATTAGTTCTGACCGGGCCCGGTACATAGGTCAAAACAAAATCATCGAGGGGCCCAGATATCAGCTTCTAATCCAAGAAGGAACAGATAAACTTCGACTCATATGTTTGTTCTACTACTCATTGAATTACACATAAGAGCACGATTTTATAACATCGAGTTACCAATGCGTTTTTCGTACAATCAATGCATAACCAACTTGTAAGTAACAAATCATATCTCTAGGTTTAAAGACTTATATGATATTACCGTCTCACGATCACTCGAGATAGAATTCCATGAAGTGATTCCAGTGAGCGTGGGTTGAGTCCAATGCTCAGAACTTATGAGCACTCATGATTGTTGTAGCCTTGTCCCAGACCTCTACAACCAAACATGACAGTCTTGATTCATACCTACTTCCGACATATGACCGACTGTGGAGGTTTGAATAATATGTTATACCAAACAAAATTATTCTGGAAGTCAAAACATGCAAAAGAAATATAGTAAACGATCGACAAGAGATAGCAACACTTTACTCATAAATAAAACACTTTTATTCATCATCAAATGTCAATTACACTTTACAAATTTCGAGATTATCTAACTACTAAATCTAATATCATCCTTCAGCCCTATGCTCCGAGCATGCTGGAGATGCTTAACCCGAGTCAGTCCCTTCGTGAGGGGATCTGCCGGATTCTCATCTGATGATACCCTCTTTGCCACGAGGAGTCCTTCTTCGATCCGATGTCTGATGAAATGGTATTTTCTGTCGATGTGTCTGGATCTCCCGTGATCCCTTGGTTCCTTGGCTAAGGCAACAGCACTTTCACTATCACAGAAAATTTCCATCGGCTCTTTAATAGCTGGTACAACTCCA